GCTCAAAATGAGATTTTATTTAAAAATTGGGACTTCTAGATGGCCGGAAATGGCACTGTCAGCCTTGAAAAATACAAGTTGATAATTAATATAAAATTATAGCACTGGGATGGGAAAAATAGGCCTATTTTTTCTTCTTTTTTTTGGTCCGACTGCCCGACGAGCTTTGGCCGATGCCGGGGCTTGACCAGAACGATGGGGGGCTTAAGCCCCCTGCCCCTGATTCCTGGCCTTGTTCTGATTGGTCAGTTGTTAAGTTTGATTGACACTCAGTTGAAAGGTCAGTTAATCACCAGAAGGACCCCACACTGGAAGTAAGTCTTCAGACTTCCATGGGCTATACTTGGGTTTCACACTGGAAATCAGTTGTGTTCATGTACAGCATTATTCAACAGTAAAAACATGCTGATAGTCTTTTATACTCACTTCTGGTTCATTGGGAATTAATAGGACAAAGTTATCCGGGAACATTCCTTGTTTGCCGTGGCATTCCCCGTACCACCAACCACTATCAACAGATTCTTTGTCCAAGACTGTGATGATATCACCCTCTTTCAAAGCGAGTTCATCACTGTTTTCAGGTGTATAATCATAGACAACTTTTGCCTTTTCTACAGCTGGAAAATTATAAATGAATGTTAAGCAATTAGTGGAGTTGCATATCATACACTAGTGGAAATTATTATAAGACGGTTAAATTCATGCATAAAAGAAAGGTGATTGAGAGCAATGAATATATTTTCAATTATTATTTTTGACATGTATGTAAAACCGTACCATTATTTTTGAATATCATTGGTTACATCTGCAATATAGCCACACTGTAAATGCTTGAATAAGTGCTGCTCTCGAAAAAAAACGCAGTGCCAAACCTGATTTTTTTTGTTGCTACGCACCACTCTTTAAACAAGATAAGCGCTGCGGCGCTTAATCGAAAGTTATTGTTACCCTGTGTGTAAAGGGGCGCTTTAAGAAAAAGGGTTTTAAATACAATGTATACAGTGTTAAAAAGAATAAATAACACAAGGAAGACAAAAGCATTTCTTTATAAACATTCATTTACGATGACGTAGGACATATATAGGTCTACTGAACTACGGGAATACGTGAGATGGGTAACATGGGAACGGGCATGAAAAGCGTCACGCCAAAATTTTTTTTACAAGCGCCGCTCTCGAATAAGCGCCACACTGAAGCCTCCAAAAATTGTATAAGCGCTGCGGCGCCTATTCAAGCATTTATGATATGCAAGAAAAATAACACAGTATGTTCTTCAGAAAAGATCAGTTGATTGTCTTCCGGCATATGTCCTGTCCAATTTACAGGCAAAAAAAATGGAACTGACATGTCTTCAGGCCTATGTATGGCAGAGTGTTTATATTGAAAAACCTAGCTGACAGGAAGTGGAGTTAGATTCGTCGGCTTTACCTTTTACTTCTTGCATGATCGGTTCCAGTTTTGGCTGATCTTCAACTGTTTTCAATTGCTTCAAAGGCAAGGCAAGTTCCTCGGATGGCACCAGTGGTTTTTTTAACGAATTCTTATGAGTTAAGGTAATAATTAAGACACTTGGTTATTAATTTTATTAAAATAACAAGTATATAGCCCTGTCCACACCTTTATTTTATTCAACAAAAACATGTGACATGCTTAAATATGGTCATTATGACATCACATTATGACCATATATAGGCACATCATGACCATATATAGGCTCATCATGACTATATATGGGCATACAGCAGTTTTTTTGTCAAAGCCAATTTGATAGTCTGGACAGGGCCAAATACATATTGAAAATATTATTTTTTATTGAATTTTGGATACCGTATGTGTAAAAGCATTTCAAATAAGGATTTTCACCAGATGTGAACATATGTGACAACACTATGTGATTTCATAAAAAATATGCATTGTGCAAACACATTTAAAGTGATGTGTGATATGTGTTTTTAAGTTCTCATGAAAAATGTTTATGTGATCACAAAAAAGGGAAACGTGACCACACATGGTTAATTTTTAAAATGATTGATTAATTATCACTTGAGAAACCAGGTCTCATGACTTCTATGGTTTTGGAAACCCCACAAATTTCTGAAAATGTGTCAGGGTCAATTACTAAGGATGCTATTTTAAGCCTTCTCAGCAAAATATTGAATTCAAAATTATGGTAGCAAAGTTAATAATAACATGACAGTGAATAAGTAATACACAAGAAATAGTATGTATGTGACTAGCATAAATGTTCTAATTTAAATTAGTTCATATTTAAGTTTATGTTTGATATTCATATATTATTTGCACAATTTACTGTATACCAATAAAAATATTGGTTAGAAACTTTCAAAACACAAATTTTCTTTTTAATTCGGAAAACTAGCATATTCATAATTGCCATATTGGTATTAGCATATTTACTACATTAGCATATGTATGAATTCAAAATGAATGAACCATATAAGTTAAAAAAATTACCAAAAAATGGGTTCATTTATTGAAACAGTGTGAGTCAGTGCAGAAAAACAACAGCAAACACCATGTGCTGTTACTAAAGTCTACATATTTCGACAGAATGTTACCACAAGATATTAGAGTTGCTAAAGAATGCTAAAACAAGCTATTACAGAATAGAAAATATTAGAAAAGGTACCATTCAATTCTATAAAATAATTGCTACAAAAAAAAAGCAATCCTCTCTGAGTATCACTAAAAATGTTACCACAACAATTGCTGCAGCAAAGTAATTGTCTGTATTTCAATTAATTTCAACTATATTTTTCAATAATTTCAACTATATTTTTCAATTAAAAAAAAGCTATGACAAAAACTACATTTTACTACCTAAGAATCACTAATCAACAAATCACTGTAGTGTATATCAAACCATCTGTTGCTCTATAGAAATGATTGAATGTATGGTCTTCGTATGAATGGCATTGTTGATATATTAAAAACCTATCAAGAGTTTATGTATTATCAAGCTTTTAATTAAATTGAATCACACATAACGTCAATATGTTCTATTTCATCTCCTATTTGCAACATTAGCCTGCTATTAGCCATTTCTCTGTAGAGGACATAACTTAATTTTAAAGGTATCTCTTATTAACTTGTCTATTCCATCATTCACACCAGGACCCAACTGGAAATAGCTTCCTAGGTGTTATTCATCCATCCATTCATTGTCATTTGTTATATTTATTTACTAATTTAATAGTTCATCCATTTGTCCATCCATCTGCCCACCCTTACATC